TCCTTCATCACCACCGGCCTTTCTGATTGTCTTGCTACATTTGCGAGCTGTCAAGGACAAACTTCAACCACTCCATACTTTTTAAGGGGAACCTCTGGCCAGCTTGGAGCATTGGTGATATTGATGGGATTCTTCTGTATCATTTACAATTAAATTTGAAACTCCTCTTACCCGTTCACTGCAAAGCAGGGCTGAAGCTCCTACCATGCCCCCATCATTTTAGAACGCTTCTAATCCACAGGAAAGATCTCTGGATTTTTAAAAATTGGAGATAATCTATATAGAGCAGCAGTTCTCAACCTGTGGGGTTGAGAACTTACTTCCTAAGTGGAGTAAAGTTCACTGGAAAACATTCCAGGTTGTTTCTTGTAAGAAGGTTGGTTTTGGTTGAGATGGGCTTTGGTGTAGAGCTAGGTTATGAGGTGGAAGCACCACCTCCTAGTAGCGTGATCTTAGGTGAGGACCTAACCTCCATTCAGTTCCCCCTTCTGCAGAGAGAGGCTGATAATACCTCCCCTACAGTGAAATGAGATCCTGTAAGCAGCAGTATGAGCTGAGACTCACAGCAGCACTCAGTGGATGGTGATACTAACATTTTCATATACCGATTCCCATTTGTTTTTCCTATGGATGACCTTCAGCTTTGCCCTTCCGATACGCACTGGTGGGCTGGTGGGCAATGAGAGCTCACTCATTTGCAGGTTACCCAAGGAGAGTGACTTCTACTCCAAGAACCTCTGTGGCCTCTTAGCCTCTTATTTTTCCTGGTTTGCTTCCCTCCATGATATTTATGTTCTTTCTTGTGTAGGTATTAATTGAAAAGGACTGGATCTCCTTTGGCCATAAGTTTAATCACAGGTAAGAAATATTTTAAAATCTGTTTTAAATGCTTAGGATAAAAAAAAATACGTTTAAGTTCTCAATTAACTGGGGGAAACAGCCTTATATCAGAGGTTCTCAACCTGTGGGTCGCGACCCCTTTGGGGGTCGCATAAGGCCATCGGAAAACACATATATAATTACATATTGTTTTTGTGATTAATCACTATGCTTTAATTATGTTCAATTTGTAACAATGAAAATACATCCTGCATAGCAGATATTTACATTACGATTCATAACAGTAGCAAAATTACAGTTATGAAGTAGCAACGAAAATAATTTTATGGTTGGGGGTCACCACAACATGAGGAACTGTATTAAAGGGTTGCAGCAATAGGAAGGTTGAGAACCACTACCTTATATGTTTAAGTGTCTTTGTGTATCTTCATCAAAAAGTTAAAATTTCGTTGTGCACCGTGTATCACAGATAAATGAAGTTCTGAGTCCTTCTGATGAGAACTAATGCTGACTATTCCATTTCTGAGGTGCAGACATGCACTCTAAGCTGCAAGTTGTGAAAGGCCTGTGGAAGTCTTCTTTGATCTTTCACTGAGGGAGGCCATTTGGGTTGTCCTGAGGCACCTGTGTCCTGGGTGACGTCTCTGGGGAGGAAATGCACGACAGTGGCCGAGGCACTGCAGCCAGATGCAGACTGTGGCATTTACCAGCTGCGTGGCCTTGGGTGTCTGTCCCCTCTGAGCTTTGGCATCCCATCTGTGAAACGGGGCTACCCTCCCTATTCCACAGCTCATAGTAAGGGTTTTTAAAAAGTTTACATAACTAGCCTAACTCCTTGCCTGGCCCGTATATGAGGCTTTCAGATACACAGAAGCTACTGTTTTTGGAGACCCCCAGCTGCATTTTGTTAGTGCAGATCAGGGGTCCTCAAACTGCGGCCCGCGGGCCACATGCGGCCCGCCGAAAACATTTATCCGGCCCGCCGGGTGTTTTTGCCACCGCTGCCTGTCCTGCTTAGCAGCCAACTCGTCCCGGGCCCGCAGTGCGCATGTGTGGAATGTCTGAGGGACAGTGAACTGGCCCCTGTTTAAAAAGTTTGAGGACCTCTGGCACTGTAGATGATAATGCCTGACTTGTGTTCTCTAACCTCCAAAATGTTCAATGTTATAGCTGCTGTACTCTGGCCCTTTGTGTTAAAGTTTAAATTTAGGCAGCATGCTAATAATTTAATTAGGTACTTACTTTTCCAGGAAAGCAAAATGATCCCATTTTACAAATGAATTAAAGCCTCCAAACAATTAACCTTCTTAAGATCATTGTTGTTATCAGTTTTGGGGTTCTGACTGTATGTGCTAAGCAGTTAAAATCTGAGATAGAGGACATACGGACAGAAGGAACTGGGAAATGCTGAAGACTAGATGGATCACTGTTTTGTGAGGAAAGAGTATATATATTAGGCAATCCTTTTTAAAGTTATCATTTTTTTTTAGGTGAGTAGAACTGAAACTCTTGAGAAGTTTCCAGACAATTTCTAATGTTTCCATTCTCGAAAAAAACTAAACCAATCCTTACTCATTTCTATTCCTCAAGTGGATCATTCATTGTTGAGATGAGTTTCTAAGTTATTTTATACCTGATGGCAGTCAAATTACCCCTTTTGTATTCTTTCTGAAATTCATACAACACTGTAAGAGACTAGTCTTTATTTAGATTCTGATCTCTTGAAAGTTTCAAGATTCTCTGATGTACTCTTGAAAGACAAAGATATGATAGAAAGGTATATTAGAATCTGTGGTCACGTGGAAATTATATGCTGTTTTAGTACTGTTCTAGAAACAGAAATATCCCTAGAGCAGTGGTTCTCAACCTTCTGGCCCTTTAAATACAGTTCCTCATGTTGTGACCCAACCATAAAATTATTTTCGTTGCTACTTCCTAACTGTAATGTTGTTACTGTTATGAATCGTAAAGTAAACATCTGATATGCAGGATGGTCTTAGGCGACCCCTGTGAAAGGGTCGTTCGACCGCCAAAGGGGTCGCGACCCACAGGTTGAGAACTGCTGCCCTAGAGACTTGGGAAACCACAATTTTTTAAAAAATTGTCTTTACTTATTCCTTCCCCCCAAAACAACACAAAAGTGCAAAACTCTAAAGTTGCTTAGATAATTCTTCACTAATTGAAACAAAGTGAAGGTTTATTCAAAAGTTCTAATGTACCCTTTTCCCCCCAATATATTTTTATTGATTTCAGAGAGGAAGGGAGAGAGAGAAACAAAGATGAGAGAGAATCACTGATCAGCTGCCTCCTGCACGCCCCTTACTGGGGATTGAGCCCACAACCCAGGCATGTGCCCTGACTGGGATCGAACAGTGGTTCATAAATTGAGGCTCAACCATTGAGCCACACCAGCCAGGCTTTAGTGTACTTTTAAAATTTAATGTACTTTTAACATAAGTGTTTCCCTTCGTTACCCAAATCTTCACTACTAAGTTTCTCCTGAAACTGACATTTTAATTTATTTTTCCCCCACTTCTTTGCATTTTGGATTTATAAGCTAAGATTTACTTAGGAACTAGGGTTGCTTTTGTTGGTTGTTTTTGTATTTATATTATAACTTTCTAATTAAAAAAGCAAACAAAATAACTGGCTATAAAACTTTCCTAATGCTTTATTTTATAGATATGGCAATCTAGACGGTGATCCAAAAGAAATCTCTCCAGTTATTGACCAGTTCATCGAGTGTGTCTGGCAGTTAATGGAACAATTTCCTTGTGCGTTTGAGTTCAATGAGCGGTTTCTGATTCACATTCAACATCACATATATTCCTGCCAGTTTGGAAACTTCCTATGTAACAGTCAAAAGGAGAGACGAGAACTCAAGTAAGTGTTTTGGTATTTAATTTTGTGACTGAGAATTTCAGATGCCCTTTCATAATGTGAAGACTATTTTAGCCACACACCTATACTGACAGATTCAAGCTCTTTCCTTTTTCCTGACATAACGCTTCATATGAATCATCCGACACAGGTAGGTACAAGTTCATTTCCCCAGCTTCTTCCTGATATCCACACGGGCCGGCGGACCTGGCACACTAACATTGAAAGGAAACTTCCTAGAGTCAGAGAAAGTGATTTTTACATTTAGAAGGAAACACACCTCTTTGGTAGATATAATCACATGCAGATTATAAATATAATTGGGAAAGCAAATTTGAAACTCTCTTATTTAGGCTAAAACTGTATTGTCCTATCCACAGGGAAAAAGTAGATGAAATTTAAACTTTAAATAAATTGTAAAGCAGAAACTTAAAAACAGCAAAGGGATTTATGAACTGCAAGTGAGAGAAAATGTTTGAAATTCTCATAAAGTTAAAGTGATTTTAACTGTGGTCTATATAATATCAGGTTTAATTTGGGAAATGGGCTGAACAGAAGGAAAATGACATTTCCTCGTGGATGCTAGTTTGCTTCTGCAAGAAACTTCCAGTGTGCTTCCCGGTAGATGGCAATGATTTGGAAGCATCGGACTGCGCCCTTCAAGCTTGCTGTTCCTGGACAGTTTTGTGCTCCGATGTGATAGACTAGCCACTTCAGTGGTATTTGTTTGAGTTTGAATCCCAGCTGTTCTACTCACTAGCTATGTGACTTTGGGAAACTATTTAATCTCTTTCAGCCCCAGTTTTCTTATCTGTAAAACAGACATATCTCACAGGAATTCAGTGAGGATTAAAGAGAGAAAACATAGAAGCATTTAAATAATACCTGGCAAAGAATAAAAGTTTATGACTATTTAGGGCAGCGGTTCTCAATCTGTGGGTCGCAACCCCTTTGGCGGTCGAACGACCCTTTCACAGGGGTCGCCTAAGACCATCCTGCATATCAGATATTTACATTACAATTCATAACAGTAGCAACATTACAGTTATGAAGTAGCAACAAAAATAATTTTATGGTTGGGTCACAACATGAGAACTGTATTTAAAGGGCCAGAAGGTTGAGAACCACTGATTTAGGGTAAAAAAAAGAAAAAAATTACATTAACAGTTTTATTTTACACTCAGTAGAGAGAGCAGAGGAGCTGAGATTAGTGCTCTGCTATGCCATGAAAACGAAGTGTAAATTTCCCTGCTACAGAACACGGACACGTGATACTCAGATAATTACTGGTCCCTTTCTAGCTTTAATATCACAGTCTACTATTTATAAGCATCAAGATAGCCCTGGCCAGGTAGCTCAGTTGGTTGGAGCATCGTCTCGATATGCCACGGTTGTAGGTTTGACACCCAGTCAGGGCACATACAAGAAGCAACCACTGAATGCATGAATGGGTGGAACAACAAACTGATGTTTCTCTCTCTCAAATAAAAAAGAACCAAGATAGGTCATTTTCAGGCTTATTTCCTTTACAACAGAATTCAAGAAAGAACATACTCTTTATGGGCTCACCTGTGGAAGAATCGGGCCGACTACACGAATCCTCTCTTTAGAGCTGATCACAGTCAGACCCAGGGAATCCTTCGTCTCCCCACGCCATGCAACTTCATGTACAAGTAGGTGAACGTCTAGGACCTTACTAGGAAGGGGTATGAGCTCAGTGCCAGCGCTGTTTAATATTCAGGCCAAAGGGTAGGAAACACTGAGCTTCAGGGCTTTTTTGGACACAAAATACAACAAAGGAGGATGTTTTAATATCTGACCTGATTTTTTGCCAGTGTCTCCTCTCCCTCGACTTTCCCCCAAATAAGAAATTATCTTAGAAGTTCATGTTCTGTAATAATGGTATCTTAAAAATGTAAGTTCCAATTATTTAAAAGGTGGGGTTGGGGGAGAAAGAAAAGATGGATGGAATAAGCCAATATCTTGTCAGTTAAATGTAGACCAAGCCCTGTTCCAGGAACTGTGTATAAAACAATGAACGACCCTGTCTCTGCCCTGTAAGTACTTTCCTAAGTAAAGAGTGGACCCACGATATCCCCGATTCTCACTTGCATTCCAGTTTGCATTGTTGTGTAGGTTAAAAGGGGGGCCATTCATTGCAAATGCAAATTTTTGGTGGTTATGATAAAAACAAGCTAAATCCTCAAATTTAAAAGGTTCTACTTTTTCCAAGTTTACTTCAAAACAAAGAGCCATTTTCTTAAACCAAAAAATATAAAAAAGAAAAAAAATAGTAACATGTGATACTTCAATCTATTTTAGAAAATTATATGCCTTCTAACTCAATACCATATATAAAATTCATGAATTTATTCTGTCCAAAAAAATTTACTGATCCCCCACAAGGAAAACATCAACATGAAATTAAGTAAGTGGCTTCTTGAGCCCAGAACTTGCACTTGGTGATGATTAGGACTGTGGGACTGAGGGATGGGAGATACCCGAGCGGCCTTGCGCCTGTGAATTCACAGTAGGACATGGTTGCATCATGGAGCTCTGCTGTCCCTTCCAGGTTCTGGAGTGGCATGTACAACCGCTTTGAGAAGGGGCTGCAGCCCCGACAGTCGGTCACCGACTACCTCATGGCAGTGAAGGAGGAAACGCAGCAGCTGGAGGAAGAACTGGGGGCCCTAGAAGAGGTAAGACACACTTTCCTGACCATTGTTGCTCCATGGAAGCCTGTCAGGACTCGGGATATGTGAAACGCAGCAACACAGACTTTCGTATTTTTAGCCAGTGGATAACCTGAAACACAACCCTTCCCGACCCCCCAGGTGAGCACCCAGAAAACTGGAGCCCAAACCTAAGCAGCACTGAATACATTTCAGACATTCAGACATCTGGTTTGAGGCTCACTTCCACAGTGCGCCGAACTACTCAGCTGTTCCTACAATAGGTCAGGATTTTTTGTTACTGTTATTTGGGAGCACTAACATGAATGCTTTCTGGAGAATTAATTACTAGTACATAATGATATAAAAAATCCTGATGCCGGGGCTCCGAGCCTAGAGATTCCGACGGAGAATGTTTAGAGTGCCCTGAGACTGTCATAGGGCGGAGAGACCTTGAATTAAAGAACGTGTAGAATTAACAATGAGGCACAAGTTAGGTGTTTAGAATTTCGGAGTTGTGATAAAAGCTTTGCCATTCAAAGTTCACTCGTGTCATCATTGGGTCAGTTTTATCTACTCTTCCCAAAGATATCCAAGCTTTATGAAAAGCTGATGATTGTATTAATCTATTCCAGTATTCTTATTAAAATACTAACTCTCTAAAAGCACTGTAATTAAAACCTCTTTTTTCCTTATAACAAACTTCCTTAGCCTTACACATGAGATTTCCCCACACTCCAGTCTAACCTACCTTTTACACTTCATTCTCCACTACTCCCCTTGATCAAATTTAACCATTCTCTGCTTGTTATGCATAACTGACACCTTCCTTCCTTTTTCTACTCACTGTCCCTGCTGCCAGAATGCTCTAACCATCATGTCCAAGTTGAATTCCTTGTCCTGTGCATGCTCCCTCCTCCCTGCAGCATCCTCTGATCTCTTCCCTCTAACCACAGCACCCCGCCCTCTGAAATAATTCCTGCCTCTTCTAAATTCCTACATTACAGGAACTCTGCCTCTACACAAAATTCCCTATAGCTGGATCTGTACCGCCTAGTACAGTACTTTTACATATAACTTAATATAAATGCTTTTTGAATGAATAATGTCTTCCTCACTGACATCAAAGGATGAAAACTGGTAAAACGCATTCCGAACAATCCAAATGTCCATCGACTGATCAACAGGTAAACAAAATGTGGCATACAGGCATAGAAGGAAGGATGACTACTGACTACCAGGTGCTTTCCTGTTACTGTTTTTGCATTTTATAGAAAACAATGCTGAGGCAGGTATTACCATCCTTATATTACAAGATGAAGAAACCAAGCCTCACAGGACCTAATTATTTTGTCCAAAGTCATAGTGTACCTTTGAACCCAAGTCCTTCTAAATCCCGTTCTTAACATTATACTCAGCTGGAAGGTAATGATTACTAAAGGCATGCATATGTAAAAAAGATAAATTATTTATGATTTCCCCTGAAATTATTTCCTTTTTAGAGGCTGGAAAAAATCCAAAAAGTCCAGTTAAATTGCTCCAAAGTGAAGAGCAAGCCAGCTGAGCCCAGCAAACACTCGGGGTTCTCCACCTCGGACAACAGTGCAGCCAACACTCCCCAGGACTACAGTGGGAACATGAAGTCATTCCCATCCAGGAGCCCCTCCCAAGGCGACGAAGACTCCGCTCTGATCCTAACCCAGGACAACTTGAAAAGCTCAGACCCAGACCTGTCAGCCAACAGCGATCAGGAGTCTGGCGTGGAGGATCTAAGCTGCCGCTCTCCAAGTGGAGGGGAGTGTGCGCCCAGCGAGGACAGCGCCAAGGACCGGGACTCTGACGAAGCCGTGTTTCTAATGGCCTGAAGCTTCCCTCGAGCTCCAACATAAAGGACATGCAAGAAACACCTTCCAAAATAAGGGAACAGTGCAATTTAAGATAAAAAGTAACTCAAGAAATGGTACGTGTAATCGATAATTATAAAATATAGCAATGAAAAGGGGGGGGGGAGTCCAACTCTTAGTTTCCTTAGGTGTTGAAGAACAGGAAGTATACATTTTTTTGTCAAATAAATATCAAGGGTATTATCCCATTTCGAAAATTATTCTAGTCTATGAAAGTTTTATTCACTACAATGAATGACCTCTAGCATCACCTAAGGTTATCTACATAAACCTTCCTGGTCACAGCATGTACCTGCTCAGCTCAAAAAGTGCTCTGACCCTTTGCCTGCACGCCTGCTATCATTTTTCCCACTTATTTCATTTCCTGATGCATATTTTATTTCCTAAAACATTTGACATTATCCTTCCTGCCTGTCATTAATACTTCTAACAACAGAGGGCAGTGTTGAGATGTAACCTTTTGATTAATAGGTCTATTTCTGTAACTGAAGAGCTTTGTAATTGCTTCAGCTTATCTTTCAGGTTTCATGATCACTCTAACTTTTCCTTAGATAATATTTTTTGAATTGTTATAATAATCTTGTTGCTTTATTTTGGAATATCTTATTTCTCCTCAAGTTTTAAAAAATGCTAACACTTATAACTCACTTTTTCCTCTAACACGGGTCAAATACTTAATAAAGTAAAAGCAACATTTCCTCTCTGGTTAGTATATATGAATTCAGAACCTATTAGCTTTCTAATTATTAACAAGCTCTGATTACTAGTCCAGAGACAATATTACCAAGAGTGTGGGTCAACCACCACTGAAGTCTAACAGTGTAAAGTTAGTAGATAATTTTTTTTTAAACATATAGTGTTATTGACTTTAGAGAGGAAGAGAGAGGGAGTGATAGAAACATCAATGATGAGAGAGAATCATGGATCGGCTGCCTCCTGCATGCCCCACACTGGGGATCGAGCCTGCAACCCGGGCATGTGCCGTGACCGGGAATCGAACCATGACTTCCTGGTTCATAGGCTGACACTCAACCACTGAGCCATGCCGGCCGAGCAGTAGGCAATATTTCAATGAGGGAAAATCCCAATTAAGAACTAGAGAATTTGGTTGTTTCTACTTAACCAGTGGAATAAGTTCTGCCACTTCGGAAACTGTATGTGGTTAACATGTTTTAAATTACACTGTTCCATCTCTGACTGCTGGAATTAGTTCTGTTTTACTAAAATGCACATTTGAAGCAGAATTATTCCCCTGCCTGTTGAAATGGGACTTTACTGGGTGACCTTAACTTCTGAAGAAACATCTAGTGAAATAAAAGTTGCCTTGTTGGAGAGAGATAAATAACATATAAGAAGAAAATAGTATAGCCATAAAGTTACAAAAAGAGTCACTTAATTCCTGTTGCAGTAACAGAACCAAAATTCACACAGGCAGACAAATGCAGACTTTTTCTATCCTGGATGACTTATATAACCTATATCTGTGTTTTAAATGCTGACAGTGATGATTAAACTCCTCTTTTTAGTAACTGGGTTGTAAGGAGATTATCCAATACATTAAGTTTGGAAGGAGAAACCAAGCTATGTTAACTGGTATAGAAAAAAACTGGAATAGTTTAAAGAACAAACATATACGCCCTAGCTGGTTTGGCTTAGTGGATAGAGTTGGCCTGCGGACCAAAGGGTCCTGAGTTTGATTCCGGTCAAGGGCCCGTACCTTGGTTGCAGGCTCCTCCTTGGCCAGGCCCTGGTCAGGGTGCATGAAGGAGGCAACCAATCGATGTTTCTGTCTTTCCCTCTCTCTTCCACTCTCTAAAATGTCAATGGAAAAATGTCCTCGGGTGAGGAATAACAACAATAACAAAAAAGAACAAATATATTATGATGAATTACTTATGTGGCTGAAGAGACTATGTAAAAATTTTTTTTTGCTTTAGATAAGCACCTAAACCAGTGGTTCTCAACCTTCTGGCCCTTTAAATACAGTTCCTCATGTTGTGACCCAACCACAAAATTATTTTCGTTGCTACTTCCTAACTGTAATGTTGCTGTTATGAATCGTAATGTAAATATCTGATATGCAGGATGGTCTTAGGCGACCCCTGTGAAAGGGGTCGTTCGATCGCCAAAGGGGTCGCGACCCACAGGTTGAGAACCACTGACCTAAACCATGTCTTACCTATATTTGTATAGTATTTCCACAATGCCTCATTCTTAGTAGGCGTTAAATGATATTACTGGATCAAATGAACTGACATCCTTGTAGAACGGCTGTGGTCTGCTGGTGTCTTATTCTGGGATCTACCTGGTATATAAGAAAACTACCTGTTGGCCAAAGATTGGGACCACTATGCCCTCCATTGCAGGGACCGCAGGGAAAACTGAAGCTCTACTGGCTAGAACAATAAGGAAAGGTTTCTGAATACCCCAAAGGCTCCGCCGTAACCTTAGAAGTGAGCTCACCTATCTATAAATCCGGAGTAGTTATTATACCTTCCTCCTCTGGTCATTTTGAAGATCAAACAGCACACCCTAGCACAGTGCGAGGAAGACAGGCAATTAATAAAAGATCATTTCTTTATCCAAAGTCCATCTTTAAAGTCCATGTGAATACTAGCCCTAAACACAGACCAAATATTAAACATATTTCAAGTCTAAGAACATAATTTTGTTTTTCTTAAAACTCTATTGCCAAAAAATATTTTCTGGGTGAACAGAAAAATGAAGAAAAGACAAACTGTACTGTATGCTGGTGTTTGAAATGACAAGCACATTGGGATGAATTTTAAACAAAGTATACATTAGGTTGTTTTGTGATTGAGGTACTATCTACCAAGCCTCGGGCATACATTTTCTCATTAGCTTTTACAGCTATCCATTAAATGTGTTCATTCTGTAATATAGAATAGAGGCAAACTGCTGAACATAGTACCAAGTAAATGAAAAATTCAATTAAATTAACTATAAATTCAACCTCCTAAAATTAAATATTAATTTCATTTATTATTATAGTTTTTCTCTTATGAAAAGCTAACTCATAGTAAAGGTCAGAAAATTTCACTGACTTTCTAATTAGGTACAGATTTACTATTTATTAACAAAAGTTTTTAACTGTAACATTAGTAATTTAGACAGCCTATTCTTATCCAACCACATCACATACTTCTATTAAAAATTTGCATGAAAGTTTATGTTGGACCAGTTTAAATAAAAGACAATTTTCTTCTATTAGGTGAAATATTTACCTGTATTGCTTCTTAAATGCATCTTTAGTTTTAAAAATAAAACAACAATATATAAACAGCTGGTTTATTCTTTTGGTTTATTATACGTATTAAAAGTTACTTTCTTGAGATGGCACATTGGCAGGTTTAATGTTTACTGACACCTGGAATATTTAAAAGAAATTGTTTTTGAAAGTTTGATTATCCAGAAAGAAAGAAGAAAAATAAGTCTTTCTACTGTTGAAAATAGTAATTTTTCATAAAAGGCTGAGAGGGAAAAAATCTAAACCAACCATTTTTTATAAAGAAACGAGGCATTTCAAATTAAAAATACAAATTTAAATGAATTTTATAAAATATTGAAACTAGCCAAAATTACATGCATAAGTAACCAATAAGAGAGGAGCAGTGGAACTTAAATATGATAGGATTTATCAATAATAAATAAACATTTTTAGTGCAAATAGCGCAGAAAAATTTCTCAAAGTCAAGATCAGAGCTATAATTCTGATGTGTACAAAATCAGTCTTAGTTCTGTATACAATCTATACAGTATATCTGTGAAGTCAGCTGCTGTGATGAAGTGCCAATCTGCAAATCATAAATACAAATGTGCTTAGTTATGTGTCCCATTCCTCTTGCAGCAGTTCATGTATTCAGGAAAATCTAGAAAGAAAAGAAATTTTAAAAAACCTAAGAAATTTTCATCCCAGTAAGATCTACCTATAAAGATAACTTGACCACGAGGGAAAGAGGTGGGAAAGGATTCTAGCATGTTCATCTAAGTAAGCAACTGCTCAGTGCCCGTTGTTTTCTCAAGCTGTGAGAAAGGCACACTTGATATTAATACTCAACCCTTGCCCTGGCCGGTGTGGCTCAGTTGGTTGGGAGTTGTCTAGTGCAGTGGTCGCCAACCGGTGGTCCATGAGGTCCAAAAGGTTGGCAACCGCTGGTCTAGTGCACCAAAAGGCTGCTGGTTCAATTCCTGGTCAGGGCACATGATGGGGTTGTGGGCTCGGTCCCTGGTAGGGAGTCGTCTGCAGGAGGTAGCAGATCGATATTTTATATCAATGTTTTTCTCTCTCTCCCTCCCTCGTCCTGCCTCTCTCTCTAAAAGTCAGCATAATTTGTAAAATAGGGTGTAACAATACAATGCTGGCCCTAATCTTAAACACAACTACATTGAGAGAAGGGTGTCCTAGAGATCAGAAATGCCCGTGATTTCCCTCCCTGTAGTCTGTTCCCTCTTTTAGGGGCTCTCCTATGCTCCCTTCCTCAAAGTCCACTCCTTTAGCCCAGCTGAGTGGGCAGAGGACCACACGACACCAATCTCCAAGCCAAACTGCTGAGGTCAGGATGGACACCATCCATCCCAGCCAATCTCTTTCCCAGGGATTTGTAGTGAGACCTCTGTCAGTCTCCACTGGCTGCCTGAACTGTTGATGGAAGGGTGTGAGGAAGAGGAGCTGCTTTGGTTATTGTGGCCTTTAGTCATGTTTTCACTCTCTGGTGACTAAGCTGTACTTTCTTGTACTTAGTTCTACAATGTATCCCAGCATTACCCAATAACACAGCTTTTTAATTGTCAGGGTGGGAATTAATTCTTACAACCAAATCATTCCCTGCCAAGACAGATGGAGAAGAAAAGGAAGGGTGTCCTGAGATCAAGTGAGAGCATGAACAAAGACATGGTGTAGACAAAAGAACATGACACATGAGACAGCATAAGGGAAAAATGGAAAATTAAAATGGATAATCTCAAATATGTGGTAGATTACAGAAGGTTTAAAACTAGAGAAAAATTTGGCACTGATACCGCCATTGCTAGGGGCCCATTATAGGTTCTAGCGTAGAGAAATTACATCATGAAGTAGTATTTTAAGAAGATTAGTCTGTCAGTCCTGTGCAGGAAGGAGAAACCCTGGCCAGGGGATTGGCCAGAATGTTATTGGAAAAATCCTCATGAGATGGAAAGGAGACAGAACAGAAGTTCATTTTAAAGGAAGCAAAGACAAAGGAAACTAATGAGGATATGGTATACTTCACACACCAGCTGAGAGAAAGGAACCAATTATAGTTTACAATACATCAGTAGTTATCAGATGTTGAAAAAAAACTTTTCATTTAAGCTGACATCATAGTGAGAAAATATCCAAAAGATTTTTATTGGCTATATGCTTATGTATGTAACATTATGCTTAACATATAATGCAAAATATTCTATATGTTACATAGCATAAGAGCTATAATGATGGTGGCATGCTTAAAGGTGGCTCAACAGGCAGTGGTAAGCAACACTTCAGTGAAAGAATAGTCAGGCAATAGGCTTGAGACACAAGCCTTCTGGAATGCAACTTACCTATGAAGCATGAAACTGGCTGTGCATTGCTATCACCTGCTGAAGTTTCTCTTCCTTGGCTCTTCTACAGTGGCAAATCTAGAAGATAATTTAAAATATCAGTCACTTCTCCAA